CCCAGGTAAAAATGTGAGGCGGGATCCCGCCAATCCCACCTGGGATCCCAGGTTAATCCCAGGTGGGATCCCGCCAGAAATAGGCGGGATCCCTCCTGGGATCCCGCCCGGGATTATGGAACGTCCCGGGAGGCATCCCACCTGGGATCCCAACTAGGATCCCACCAATCCCACCTGGGATCCCACCTGAAATCCTGGGTGGGGTCCAAGAAACCATCCCACCTGGGATTTGTAAAAATTCCGCCAATCCCACCCGGGATCCCGCCTGAAATCCCGGGTGGGATCAAAGATATCCCACCTGTGATATCAGGTGGGATATCCTACCTTTCCTGGCAGCATCGAATGCAGGTTGTTAAATTGATGGGATCCTGCTATCCCACCCTGTCATACACAGGAAATTGATATTTATCGTAGAGGGATTTGAAGACATATAACTCCTGCACCATATTTTTAACTTAATCTGCAAATTTATTAGGAAAATAGAGTCAATCTACATGTAAGTAAAATAAAATGAATATAATGCAACTTTAATAAGTCTACATATACAATATTCAGTCATTGCAGAACATTCAAATATGTGATTAAATCTTTTGAAAAAAAAAACAGTTGATTATACATGTATAAATGGTAGAAATATATGAAAAATAATGTTAATTTCATCAGTTTTTCTTGTTGCTAGCTTTATTTAAGTTTCTGCACTTATCAGCAATTTTTTGCTGGACACCAGTCTTTCCTCCCCAGTTCTTCTCCAACTCCTCGTCACTCCACTTGAATTGTCTTTTTAGTTTCCTACAGATTAAAAATATTTTATTAGAATTATCATAAATAATATGCCTATAGCTAGGTATATATTTATAAGGTATATAATTTGCATGGTTATAGAGCAAATTCCCAGGTCAGAAAATTAACATTGTCTTTGCTGTAATCTATAGTCTTTATTTTTATAGGCAACATGCATTACTGCAAGGGAATTATTACAGTTCTGTTGAAGCCAAATTTGTTATTATTTTTTTTAAATTATAGACACTACTCACAAGTAATTACAATTAAATGCAACAATTATAATTGTGGTAGGCCAGTCTGTCTGGTATTAAAAGTAGAGAAATACATTACCTTTAATGGCTGCCAGGACCATTGGGTTCAAGGGAGTTTTGCCGTTCATCCCCTTGATGTTTGCAGTCATGGAGAATTAAGTACAGACATGATGACTTGTCATGTTTACCACAACAACAACACTTGAATTACACGACAAAAGGTCTAATCATCTTGTGAGAAATCATGAGTCCCAGTTAAAAAAAATGAGTCCAAAATGGAAAATGTTTGGGCCTTTATGTACCAGCCGCAGACAGTTAATCTGTCAAGACACAGTCCAAAACTCTGTATTATAGTATACTGAAATTAAAATATAGTTCTTCTATTTTAAAACAGAAGTCAACAAAGGCTAAAACAAATATGCATCACTAAACAACAACCATAACTGCCACAGAAATTATACGTACGGGATATTTCTACAAATACACACGTTCAGATCGATATATCCATGAATTATTTTATGTCTTTGGCGATTTTTATGCGTCAGGAACATAGGTAGAATGCAGAGGTAACAAAATCACTGATTATATAGCTGCTCTTTTGAGTCCGTGTAAAAAATATATATATGAAAGTTTTAACATTCTTATTTGTTACACACGCACGCCCACCCACACCTTTGTTAATTTCAAAATCTTGGTTACAAAAATGAAAAAAAAAAACAACCCACAATGAATAAATAAATAAAAATAATCAGGTAAATTCATAAAATAAAATATTGAGAAAAAAAGTGTTACAAGAAAAAGGAAAGATTACTTTGGTAAGACAACAGAGCATAATTAATTACACCAAAAAGGGGGAAGTTTTTAAAGTATACATGCTTCCCACCAGCAAATTGTGGCACTTATTAGTTCTGATAAATTTCTATTGTTTATTAGCCCAATCACAGTTTTTCATTCTCTGATAAATTTGCATTATATTTCTTTCCTTTTGCATTATGTTTCCTTGTTTTTGTATTGTGTTTACTAAAAAGTACACTGCTCTAAGCCAATCAAATTCACAGAGAAATTTTTCATGTATATTATTAACTTTCATAATAAAATACCATCTACCATAAACAACTACCGGTATATCAGTACCTGCTGAATGACTTTGCTCTTGTTCACCTTAATGGATAAAGTGAATGAAAGCAATTATGACAAAAATGAAACAAGATAGAAGGTACCTGAAAATGAACACACCTGGATGTTGTGCTTTTCAACAGCAATTTCTTGGCCCTCCTTCATCTTCACCGTTATTCCCAGGTAAAAATGTGAGGCGGGATCCCGCCAATCCCACCTGGGATCCCAGGTTAATCCCAGGTGGGATCCCGCCAGAAATAGGCGGGATCCCTCCTGGGATCCCGCCCGAGATTATGGAACGTCCCGGGAGGCATCCCACCTGGGATCCCAACTAGGATCCCACCAATCCCACCTGGGATCCCACCTGAAATCCTGGGTGGGGTCCAAGAAACCATCCCACCTGGGATTTGTAAAAATTCCGCCAATCCCACCCGGGATCCCGCCTGAAATCCCGGGTGGGATCAAAGATATCCCACCTGTGATATCAGGTGGGATATCCTACCTTTCCTGGCAGCATCGAATGCAGGTTGTTAAATTGATGGGATCCTGCTATCCCACCCTGTCATACACAGGAAATTGATATTTATCGTAGAGGGATTTGAAGACATATAACTCCTGCACCATATTTTTAACTTAATCTGCAAATTTATTAGGAAAATAGAGTCAATCTACATGTAAGTAAAATAAAATGAATATAATGCAACTTTAATAAGTCTACATATACAATATTCAGTCATTGCAGAACATTCAAATATGTGATTAAATCTTTTGAAAAAAAAAACAGTTGATTATACATGTATAAATGGTAGAAATATATGAAAAATAATGTTAATTTCATCAGTTTTTCTTGTTGCTAGCTTTATTTAAGTTTCTGCACTTATCAGCAATTTTTTGCTGGACACCAGTCTTTCCTCCCCAGTTCTTCTCCAACTCCTCGTCACTCCACTTGAATTGTCTTTTTAGTTTCCTACAGATTAAAAATATTTTATTAGAATTATCATAAATAATATGCCTATAGCTAGGTATATATTTATAAGGTATATAATTTGCATGGTTATAGAGAAAATTCCCAGGTCAGAAAATTAACATTGTCTTTGCTGTAATCTATAGTCTTTATTTTTATAGGCAACATGCATTACTGCAAGGGAATTATTACAGTTCTGTTGAAGCCAAATTTGTTATTATTTTTTTTAAATTATAGACACTACTCACAAGTAATTACAATTAAATGCAACAATTATAATTGTGGTAGGCCAGTCTGTCTGGTATTAAAAGTAGAGAAATACATTACCTTTAATGGCTGCCAGGACCATTGGGTTCAAGGGAGTTTTGCCGTTCATCCCCTTGATGTTTGA